GGGGGGTGCCCACGCTGCGGGGAGCCCCGGGGACGGGCTGGGCTCTGCCTCTGGCGCCCTTGGGAGTGGTCGTGTCCCGGCCGCGGGGAGAGGTTTGCAGCCTCCCTGGATGCCCCCGGGGCTGGGTTACACCGGGTTGCAGACGGAGCGCTCTAATGAGCAGGGTTATTAATTAGCGTCTGCCGCTTGCTGCGGTTATTCGCTCTGTTCCCATTTCCAAGACCAAGCTGTGTTCCCCCGGCAGAAGGGAGTTGGTGCTTGAGAAGTGCATTGGGTGAAACATTAGATTTAGCCCAAATCCAGCCCACATCACCGCTCGGTGGGTTCCTGAAGGCTGGTGGTACTTCATATTTGAGCGTGAAACAAGTGACTGTATTTTGGTGGTCTGCTTTTTGCTTGTGTAATTAAATTCAGTTATCATCTCCTTTTGAGCAACTATAGATCTAGCTGTGCTGCATGAGGCTCAGAGTGTAACAGTTGTTTAGGTTTTGGCATGGTTTGGGATACTTTCCTCAGCCAGGCATCGCTGTTGCTGCTTGCTTGTGTACATTCCTAATGAGACAAATTCACCAGCACATAAATAAATGGTTCAATGAACCACGGCTGTGCACATAGAAAGTGGCAGGAGTGATACTTGTCTTCAACTCTTGATGCAAACTTGGCCTAAAGCCTCAGCTAGGAAATGGTGTTTTGTGGGGGTTTCTTTGGTTTTTACAGATACATTTCTAGGCATGGAGCTCTCTTACACTCTAGAAGTCTGTGTCAGTGTTGTAATCATCAGTTTTTCTTTTGGTTTCAAAAGAGATTTTAAATTGTGTTTAGAAATATGACAGATAACAGGTCTTGGTTGTCTTTTAGATAAATATTTTGCGTGGTCATTCAATATCTGCTAGTGTTTTTAAGAATAGCAGCTCAAAGACTGAAACTTAGCCACTGAAGGAGGCAAAAAGTTGCTAATCCAGCTCAGTGCCGCTTCAGAAGCATGCACAAATAATCATAGGTATCAAATAAGGAAGTTTATCTAATGCACAAACAATGGGCCGAGGTGTTTACCAACATCTCTTGGCTGTTCCTTAGGCAGAAAGAAGAGAAATGCGCAGCGGCAGGAAGGCAGCAGCACCTTCTGCAACTGTGCATTGCTTGTGGCCCATCAAAAGGTGCACGGGAACCCGACCCAAAACGTGTGGTGGGGAGAGGCAGGTTCTGTTCGCACTGCCCACCACCCCCGGTGCTCTCCTGCGTTTTTCCATCTGCAGTCTCTTCCCTTCTCTGCGCGTTACATCACAGTACTGCTTTTAGGCAAAATGTCTGTTTATCCCCTGGCTTGGCCACATAGCCTCATTGTCCCATTTTCTTCATGCTCATCACAGCTGCCTGGAGGTGGAGGTGGCTGGCAGACGAAAAAAGCCTCAATGTGCAAAAAAGATAATTCCAGCCTCTTAATCTAAAACATATTTGTTGTGTTGGGTTGGTTTTTTTTTTTAATGGCTGAGAAAGAACTGATATACGGTGCCTTGGTAAGTACAGAGATTTTTATCTAGATGAGTTTTCATGAGATAACTGAGCCACTAATCTCAATGTGTTCTTGCAGTGCCTAGCTTGGCTGCTCAGCAGGTCTGCTTGCTCAGCATTAACCCAGCAATAAGAGTAATGGCAGTAACAGCTTTGTCACCTGCATCAGTTTATCTTGACAGATTAAAACTAAGGAATGGGGTCATACACCTTTTTTCAGAGAATACTGCACTACCTGCCACTCCCAAGCAATTGGTTAAGATCAAACCAATGTTACTGCAAACTTAATTTTAGCCCTGTCTTGGAGATTTTACATTATTGAGGTGTTGCAAGTGAAGACCTTGGGCAAGTGAGGATGCCAGAGGTGTCCACCAGAACCAGGCAGCGAGAGAACACGGCTGCAAACTCCCTGCCTCTCCCTTATGAACAGGTTACTTGCAGTGAGCACTGCTAGATGAGCTTCACTTATGCAAGCTAAGGTGAACTGTAAGGGGTGATCAACAAGGTACTGACCTGTGGATTCTGAGAGACTTTGGTAGAGCCACATTGAGTCTTCACTGCCTCTTCTGGCCAAAGACCTCTGTGCAGTCGCAGAGTCGATCGTACACACACCCCTGGCATGTCCGCAAATAGCCCAAGCGGAAAAAACATCCTCTCTTGTTGGGTTTTGCCTCCTCTCCCATTTGTGCTCCCTCGCTTGTATCTGCTGAGCTTTAATGTAATTTGTGCATTGCAGATAATGAAAGTATTGTTTTAAGAGCACAAACTCCCAAAGAACTGAAGCTTGACTGAAATCTGGAAGACTGAAGCATCTCAGTGTGGTTCTGAATTCCCAGTATATCCCCGAGAGAGAGAGAGAGAGAGAGAGAGAGAGACTGGGGGAAATCCTTCTATTCTAATGCTGCCAGACTCTCTTTATGGATGAAAATACATAGCATTTGACATCAGTTTTGAGCACATGCATGGTGTGGGCTCTCATAACAGCTCTTATCCCAGCTGTTGCTTTCATCCTTGTTTTTGTTTAAGTCCTGTTATTTCAGTCTCCGTGTACCCTGCAGTTCTGATCACTGGGATTTTACGTGGTCTCAGACTACAAGTGAGATTCTGTGTTTGAACCATTAGAAATTGAAAATGAAAGAGAAAAATATCTTGTGTATTTTTCTCCTACTTTACTTTGTGACACTCTTAATTCGGGTTGTCTTATTTCACTGCACTTGAATACCAAAAGGAAATGACAAAATTTCATGTCAGACTGCCTAAGCAGATCTGAAAACCCTCCCTGGGCTGTAGGGTCTGACTGCTCTGGAGACCCTCACACCTGCTAATGTAAATCAAAGCCATGTCCAAAAGCCAACCCAAGAAGAAACCCTTTGCCTAGGGAGTTACCTGGGTAGTGCAGATGTCTCCAGACCAAGAAGTTTGTCCTCCTTGACATGAGCCTCCCTGCAGCTTCCCACTCCATTTGCTGGGCATCACATCTCTGCCCTGGAGCTCTGCAGCATCCTCTGTGCTGCTCCGATCCTTCCTGTTCATCAGATGGAATACACAAATTCTTTTCCAAAGCTAGTCCATACACATTTATTGACATAGCAAGCTTAAAAATCAGGGCTATCTGAGCCGAGAAGAGCAATGCAGAATTTGGGGAGCTGACAGATGAGCAGCTTCTGGCTTGGAATTGTCTTCCACCTTCTGTGCAAAGGATTTGTTGGGGTTTTTAAAATGATTTTTTAAACACTTTTCCTTTACTGTTTCAGACACCTCCCTGTGGACTTCTCCTGCAGTGACCTGTCCTTACACAGGCAGGTGTGGAGGTGGAGAACAGGGAAGTGGCCTTTGCCAGGTGATGTGGAGGGGCAGGACTGAACAGTTATTAGGGACCAGATCTGGTCTTTATATTTTAAATTGCACAGCACTATTGCCACCTGAGTTATTCCTCTCTGCTGTTTTAATGAGTAGCTACCTTCATTTGCGAGGAGTTAGAGCTTCTTGGTAATTTAGTGGAAGAAGGATGCCACCAGTGTTGAGGACTTACAAGAATGTGACTCCCATTTAACATCACCAGTTGTTGGTACCAGGTTAAGAGAGGTGGCTGTAGTGGATAGGTGTTACAACACAGACCTGTGCAGACCCATACCCGTTGCTGGCTGTTCTCTCTCGGAGAGCTGACAGGTCTTTCCTCCTCTTTAATAATCACATTTTATTTTCATGTGCTGCTTTACATAACTCACCTGAGTTTTCCATCCTTAGGTCTGACATTCATTGCCAGGGAGAACCGGTGCCCCAGCCAGGCAACATGACAGCGCAGTTTGATAACTTATCATGCCATCACTCCATTGACGACTTCCGAAACCGCGTCTACTCCACACTCTACTCCATGATCAGCATTATGGGCTTTGTCGGCAATGGCGTTGTGCTGTACGTCCTCATAAAAACATACCGGCAGAAGACGGCCTTCCAGGTGTACATGCTGAACCTCGCCGTGTCTGACTTCCTCTGCGTGTGCACCTTGCCCCTACGTGTCATTTACTATGTCCACAAAGGGAACTGGTTCTTCGGTGACTTTTTGTGCCGGATCAGTTCATACACGTTGTACGTCAACCTGTATTGCAGCATTTTTTTCATGACTGCAATGAGCTTTTTCCGTTGCATAGCCATTGTTTTTCCAGTCCGGAACATCAATCTGGTTACAGAGAGGAAAGCCAAATTTGTCTGCATCGGCATCTGGAGTTTTGTCACCCTGACAAGCGCTCCCTTTCTGCGAAATGGGACGTACCAACATGGTAACAAGACCAAGTGCTTTGAACCCCCAGAAGACATTCATAAGACAAATCTAGTCGTGATCCTGGATTTTATTGCCCTATTTGTGGGCTTCATTTTTCCCTTTATTGTCATAACTATCTGTTACACCATGATCATAAGGACCTTACTGAAAAATTCCTTGAAGAAGAACCAGGCTAACCGCAAGAAGGCGGTCTGGATGATCATCATCGTGACGGCCACCTTCCTGGTCAGCTTCACCCCATACCACATTCTGCGTACGGTCCACCTCCACGTGCTGCGGCTGAAGAACGCCAGCTGCGAGGATGCCATATACCTACAGAAATCAGTCGTCGTAACGCTCCCCTTAGCAGCTTCCAACTGCTGCTTTGACCCACTCCTCTATTTCTTCTCAGGTGGCAACTTTCGGAAGAGACTTACCACGTTTAGGAAGGCGTCTTCCTCCAGCATAACGCAAGCCTTCAGGAAAAAGTTCTCCATAAGAGAGAAAGATGGGGAACCCTTTGGAGAAAGCCATAGGGAGAATGAAAAGGCAGCTGCAGCCTCTTTGTAAGGGGGATAGACCTAAGATCTCAGATGGGCAATGGAGATCTTGGAACTCTTCCAGGAGACATGATGGAGGCCTTCATCGCAATTAGATATGTAATAATAATGGTGTACAGTCCATGATTTATGCTACTTGATGGTACAGCCATTGCTGGGACCAGCCCCTGCCCCAGGAGCACTGCTTGAACACGCACAGCCACTTAGCGTGGAGGAGCCACTGCCAGCCAGCACCAGAAACTGCTGATCTGATGATAAACTCACGTAAACAAACGCTTCAAAGCCTGTATTTGGGCATTTCCTTCGTTTCACAACTCTACAGAGCGTTAATTCTCCGAGTCAGTGGGAAGGGTAAACACAGCACTTGATGTGCATAGTGCTCGGGGACCTACTCACAAAGAGGGCAGAGTTTTCACCAAATCTTCAAACAGCTGCTGAATTATTTACAGAGCAGAGGTCAGGGTAATTTGTGCCCTCTTTCCAGCTGCTTTTGCTTTGGGTTTCAGTTTTCCAGATAATAATGTGTGCAAGACTTGCAGGGTTGGTGCCTGGGTCTGCAAATCCAGGAGCTCAGGCTTGAACCCCTCTCCTACTCTGAATGACCAGCTCTTCGGACACACTCTCCTGGGCAGATCTGCCAACATTTTCTGAATTTCTAGATAAATCTTGTCTATGGAAGCAGTTTTTAAATTGCAGTATCCTAGTGTGCATTTGAAACTTATTTCAATGGGACTGGTCCTTAAGTGATGGCTGCAGGATCTGGATTATCACTCCAGTTCTTCAGGAGGCTTTACCTAGAAGTGGGGCTCTGGGTTCTCAGAGTGCAATGCAGGACCAGGCTTGCCTTTCTGATCTATTGACCACAGTTTGTTTTTTGAAAAAAAAAAAAAGAGTTAAAAAATAATGCAGAAGTAATTTTAAAAATAGCTATATATGATGTTTGATCCTGTTCAAGAGTGTTCATCTTGCTCACACCTTGCAGAAAAGAGGCAGCCCAAGGCCCTTGGAAAGTTCTCTAGGAAGACCTGGAGATCAGGAGTTGGAGTTTGGATGAGGCATGGGTGAATCTTATTTTTGGTGAAAAACCTGGTTGGGCTATGTTTGTAACATAAAGAAAAACTGAAATGTTGGGCAGAAGGAAACATTCCTGTGCTTTTCCAGGGAACCCACGGAAAAGTGTTGCTGGCCTTTTGCTGGAGCAAAGCCCAGCCCAAGATGTGCGATACAGCAAGATGGAAATAGAAATTCTTGCAGGATTAAGACTCTTAGTTTAAAAAGTGGTTGATAAATGAATAGTGAGTATGTTTTGATATGGTATTTATGAAGTCACTCAATATTATCTAAATAAATAGTTTTAATACTGTAGCATAAGGATGAGCAAAAGGAGTTTGGCTTGGGGGCAGAGGTTTGCTTGAGAAATTACCTTTACGGACACACAGAAGGGTGTACACTCACTCTTTGCACCACAGGCTGCAAATCCCTGGGTCAGCAAAAGGCACTTTAAAAACGAAATTCACCTGCAGAACAATTTGTGAATTTTCAACAAGATCTGAAACCGCTTAAGAAAATTTTGAGACCCTGTAAAATGGAAGAGGTCTGAAAACTTCCCGTAAAGGAGCGTTACAGTTCCCCCTAAACCCACAGGAGGGCAGAGCTTGTAGTTCAAAGATACAACTGCACACCGCTTTGAGAGAGCGAGCGTGTGTAAGGGGGGAGTTGGATAAAACGTCTTTTCAAGGGCTAGCATTGAGTATCGTAGCTGTGTCGCAAAGCATTAAAGGCATTGTGCAACTGTAAAGAGAAATCATCATGGGAAAGTGAGTTTCAGAATAGGTAGAAATAGTATGTACACTCCCAAATTTTAAAATACTGTACGTAAAGCTATATATATATAATGTTACAAAGCATTTTTATTGTACCAGAGGTATTTTTTTTCCTTGTAATCATTTTTTTGAAAATGAGACAATGGTTAGGACAAGAGAAATGGCAGTAGTTTTTGTGCGGTAGGAAATGCTATTTAAAAAAAAATTGCTGAAAATTAAATTCAAATGTTGCAAGTTAAATTTTAACTACTGTTTTTTGTGTCTTCTTTCAAAGTGTCTGCATACAGGTTCTCCTTCCCTACAATACATTTTTACCTACACACAGCAGTAGAGCTGGAGTTGGGTCCAGCCAGACTGGCCTTTGCTGCAGCCCAATTATGCTGGACTTGGGGTACCATCTGGTGCTGCTGGTGTGGGAACTTGTCAGAGCCAAACCCCTTCTGATGGCAACTGGGGTCTCGTTAGGTCTTGCAAAGGTGGAGTACCCACAAACAGCAGCTGGGACCTCGATAAATCTGTATTTACAGATAGAAAATGTTGGCAAGACACTTGGAGGGAAGTGATGCTTTTGGTGAGGATGGTGGATTTGGGTGTCTTGTGTGTGTGGTCATGTATCCCACTGGGGTTCCTGCACAGCAAAGTCTGCTGAGAATGACTTTTTCTACTTAGCTTTTCCCCAAAATATGCACAAAATTTGCAGCTTGCTGTTTAGCTATGAAACTCCAGCCTGTACTGGTGAGGAAGGAGCTTTGCCATCAGCTTGGCTTGAGGTGAAGGTGGTTGTCCCCTGCTTGTGACTTTGCCCTGTGGCACAGAGAAAAGTGCATTCTGGCAGCAAATGCTGGTCAGGTTTTGCTCAGGAACAGGGACCTGGAGAGAAATATGTGCCATGGAAACAAGACCCGTTACCATAATGAGGTGAGTCTGTGCATTTCTGAGCCATAAAAAACAACAGGATTTGGGATGAGAGACAAAGTGCTGCCCTGGTATGGTGTCAGTGTCAGAAATGCCTAAAAAAGGAAAGGGAGCTGTTCAGTTTCTTACTAGAATCTGGACTTTTTTCTGCTGCCTATGCTGTGATTTGTGGTACAAGAGTGTCCCCTGGTGCTGAATGATTCCTGGAGCAACTGCCTGGTGCCTAATGAGACTTCTTTCATTTCTTTATAGTCCAGTTGCAGCTCCTTGCCTGTGACATTGTCCCATTTCCTCTGATGTTGCTCATGCTCAGTTTCCCCTCTCCCATCCCTTCCCATGTTTTATTTCATCATCTTTGGAGTTTTTCCCCTCTGCCTTCATCCTGGGTTTTCCTCCCTTCCTGGAGGGATGCTCAGGATGGGAAAGAGCCACCAGCAAAGGAAGGGGGTCCAGCAGCACCCATCCCCAAACAGGCACCCAGGTCCCTGCATGGGGACCCTGGCCTCAACACTGGCTGTGAGCAAGGTCCCTCCTCCTGCCACAGACTACAACAGCACCATCGGCCTTGCCTAAAAAGTGCTGTTTCTCCATTGAATGACTGCCCTAGAGTGGAGTTTGAACCTGCAAGCTGATGATAACTACACCCTGTTGGCATCACATCATCACTATGGAAGTCCCATTGGGTTGACCCTCATTTCTCTGGGAAGGTAACATCTCCAAGGTTTCCTCTGCAACCTCCACAGCTAGAAATACACTTCTTTTTTCCCCAAAGCAAACCAAGCGTGTAATTCTAACCAGTTTCCTTCGGGAGTTTGGGTAAAAAAGGTTGAGAAAACTGAAGGAGCAAGTACTCTGAAGTATGTACTGACTAATATTATATATACTGTAAAAAGACAAAAGCTTCAAGTCGGACTGGGTTTGCTCCCATACAGAGAGGGGAAGGAAAGGCTGAACCCCATAGCATGTAATAGTACGTGCAACCTGCAGGTGTGAGCATAAGCAAGGGCTGAGATACCGATTCCTTGGTCTCCTTTCATGGTTTCAGTATACAAACAATACGTACAAGAATATACTCATGACATTGTGGTTTCGTTTTTAAAAGTTCCTTTTTTGTTTTAAAAGGGCATCCAGCCCTTTTCCCCATGGGTTGTATAGCCACCACCATCTTCATAAAGCATGAAGTGGGACAAAACTTTTAAATACAAAAGAGGAAAAATCTGCATTAAGTGTTGATGGAGGCAGTAATCTTTTTCAGGATTTCAGTGTAGCAGTTAACATGCAAAATCTCTTAATGGGAAGATGGGGCAGAGTTCTTAATGAATCCTGCTCCAAAAAATGCCCAGGACATCATGTCCTCCAGATTAAACTTCCCTCAGGTCCTGGAGGATGGATTTCAGGACAAGCTTCTGTGCAAGCAAAGGGAACCCCACGGGCTCTGTTTTGTCTTTGTAGCAGGCTAAAATGTAGTTTTATTTGTGCTCATTTTCAGTGAGGGTCTGAAGCAGCCACCTGCTCCCAGAAGCCAACCACAAACTGGATTTCTGTTTGCAAAAATAAACCACACTTTCTGTTTCCAGGAGAACAGGACTAACCTTGGTTTCCAATAAATCCTGGACCTGATGTCTCTACACCCCTTTTCAGCAGCTGCTGGGTACGGGCATCCCCTCCAGCATGCACACTGCCCGTGTACAGAGGATTTTTCAAGCAGGAATCTCTCACTTTTAGCTTTTCTTAATGTTATTCTTGAGCTATGGTAAAATCAGCTGACCCTGACTGCAGGGAGAAGGGTGCTTTCTGATTTCTCTCAGGCTGCAAACCTCCAAACTCAGAATTGCTGGTTACTTCGGGAAATGTTAAGTTTTGGGGGAGTCTTCTCCCCACATGCGTGAGTATTCTTGAATGCACTATAAATGGCAGAGGATAAAGTCATTGCTAATGCCCAGTGGCATATCTGTCTTGTTTAGAAGCCTTCAGTGGTCTTTTTTTTCCTCAGGCTGTAAAAATACTTCCTTTTTGGACACTTGTGATTCCTATAGCAAGTCGTCATTTGGGCTTTTTAACTCCACACCATTTTTGCCTGCTATGTGGCCAAGTTTTAAAGTGACAGGCTTGGAAATTCAAAAACTCTGCATAGGATGTAACCGCCCTTATTCTATTTGAAGTGTCTTCATATAAAATGCTTGCAGGATGCGTGAAGCAAGCAGCCCTTTGGTTTAACAAGCAGTAAACTCCAAGCACTGGCAATAAAGAGCGATTTCTTGCTCTGAGCGAG